ACTGGCTCACTCGCTATCGAGTTGACATCCGGTGTCAAGAGCGCGAAGTCACTCTCTTTCCTGATTTCGATCAGCCTTTTGTTTTCTTTGGGGTGAAATCGAGGACTGTACCTCGCGTCATCTCTTCTATGCAAGCCAGGAAGAGCCTTTCCAAGGGTAGCTGTCAAGGCTATCTTGTATCTATGGTATCCGAGGATGATTTCGAGCGAACTCCGGATAGAATTTCTATTGTTTGCGAATACCTCGACGTCTTTCCCGATGAGTTGCCCGGTGGACCGCCCGATCGCCAAGTAGAGTTCACCATTGATCTAGTACCGGGAGCCGGTCCTGTTTCTAAGGCCCCTTACCGTATGGCGCCGAAGGAGCTTCAAGAGCTCAAGGCCCAGATTCAAGAGTTGCTCAATCTCGGTTTTATTCGGCCGAGTGTTTCGCCATGGGGAGCGCCCGTCCTATTTGTGAAGAAGAAAGATGGATCGATGCGCATGTGTATTGACTACCGGGAGTTTAATGCCCTTACAGTCAAGAACAAGTATCCCCTTCCTCGCATCGAGGACCTTTTCGACCAGCTGAGGGGAGCTAGCGTCTTTTCGAAGATTGACTTGCGTTCTGGCTATCATCAGGTGAAGATCAGGGAGTCTGATATTTCTAAGACTGCCTTCCGTACTCGCTATGGCCATTATGAGTTTGTGGTTATGCCATTTGGACTTAGCAATGCCCCGACTATGTTTATGGACCTTATTAATAGGGTCTTTCATCCTTTCCTGGACCAGTTTGTCATTGTGTTCATCGACGACATCCTGGTTTATTCCCGAGACATCGACCAGCACAAGGAGCATCTGAGGATTGTGCTGGAGACCCTTCGCCGCGAGAAGTTATATGCTAAGTTCTCGAAGTGTGAATTCTGGCTAGATCGTGTGGCATTCCTTGGCCACATTGTGACAGCTCGAGGCATTGAGGTGGATCCCGGCAAGATTGAGGCAGTGAGCAAGTGGGATACACCAAGAAGTGCCGCTGATGTTCGTAGTTTCCTGTGGTTAGCAGGATATTACCAGAGATTTATCGAGGGCTTCTCGAAGATAGCCCAGCCACTAACTAACCTTTCAAAGAAGGTCGTGAAGTTCGATTGGAGTCCTAGGAGTGAGGAGAGTTTCCAGGAGTTGAAGAGGAGACTCACTACCGCGCCCGTTCTATCCATTCCCGACCCTACTTTGGAGTTCACCATCTACAGTGATGCTTCGAAGCTGGGTTTGGGATGTGTTCTTATGCAGCAGGGGAGGGTTGTAGCCTATGCTTCGAGGTAGCTGAAGCCTCACGAGCAGAACTACCCCACTCATGATCTTGAGTTAGCTGCAGTTGTTCACGCCTTGAAGATATGGCGGCACTACCTCTATGGAGGCAAGTGTGAGATTTTCACCGACCACAAGAGCCTAAAGTACATTTTCACTCAGAAGGAGCTGAATATGCGGCAGCGTAGGTGGTTGGAACTGGTCAAGGACTATGATTGTACGATTAGCTACCATCCTGGGAAAGCTAATGTGGTAGCTGATGCCCTTAGTAAGAGGAGTTATGGTCAGTTGTCCTGTCTTTTTACCAAGCAAAATGTCCTTCTTCGGGAGTTCGAGCGACTTCAGCTAGAGGCAGTGGAGTCGACTCCGACAGCCGGGGGTATGTTGACCTCTTTGGTTGTGGGACCGACTCTTCGAGAGAGGATAGTTGCTGAGCAGCCGAATGATCGTTTTCTGTGCCGAATGAGAGAGTTGACGATTAGCGGTCGGATTGAAGGCTTTGCAGTTGCATCTGATGGAGCATTAGTCTTCGAGGGTCGACTATGTGTTCCGAAGGTGTGGGAACTGCGAAAGGAGATTTTGAGAGAGGCCCATAGTGCCCCGTACACCGTCCATCCTGGTAGCTCGAAGATGTACCAGAACTTGAGGAAGTCTTTTTGGTGGCGAGATATGAAGAGGCAAGTGGCGAGGTTCGTAAATGGGTGCCTGGTGTGTCAGCAAGTGAAGGCTGAGCATCAGAAACCTAGAGGTGAGTTACAGCCACTTGAGGTTCCCTTGTGGAAGTGGGAGTGCATAACTATGGATTTCTTAGTGGGATTGCCGAGGTCGAGGACCGATCATGATTCGATTTGGGTGATTGTGGATCGCCTTACGAAGTCTGCTCACTTTCTGCCGGTCCGCACGACTATGAAGGCTAGTCAGTATGCCGAGTTGTTCGTGGACGAGATTGTCAAACTTCATGGAGTTCCTGTGGAGATCGTGTCTGATCGAGACGCGAAGTTCACTAGTCAGTTCTGGAAGACTCTTCACCGGGCCATGGGGACGAGGCTGGAGTTCAGTACAGCTTTTCATCCTCAGACAGATGGTCAGTCGGAGCGGACGATCCAGTACTTGGAGGATATATTGAGAGCTGTGGTCTTGGACCGTAGCCTAACTTGGGAGAGTGCCTTGCCTTTGGTCGAGCTGACTAACAACAATAGCTATCACTCCTCGATCAAGATGGCCCCGTTCGAGGCTTTGTATAGACGAAAGGTCCGAACACCCTTGTACTGGGATGAGGTTGGGGAGAGGAAAATTATGGGTCTGGAGTTCATTCATAGAGCTTCGGAGACAGTTGAAGCTATCCAGAAGCATATACGATCAGCCCAAGAGAGGCAGAAAGTTTATGCCGACCGTAAGAGGGATGAGCACGAGTATGCCGTCGGAGATCATGTCTTCATGAAGGTCTCGCCTATGAAGGGCGTGATTCGCTTCGGAAAGAAAGGGAAACTTAGACCGCGTTATATTGGGCCATTCGAGATCCTTGCCCGAGTCGGAACTTGGCTTATCGGCTGGCTTTACCACCTAGTTTGTCGGGAGTGCATGACGTGTTTCACGTTTCTATGTTGCGAAGATATGTGCATGATCCTACTCACGTGGTGGACTTCGGCGAACTGCAGGTCGAGCGAGACCTTACCTACGAGGAGGTACCGGTAGCCATATTGGACCAGAAGGTCCATCAGTTGAGGAACCGGGCAGTGAGCTTGGTGAAGGTGCTTTGGAGCCGACATGATGAGTCAGAGGCGACTTGGGAAAAGGAGGCCGAACTTCGGAGGCGATATCCGAACTTTGAGTTTTGAGTTTTCCTTGTATTTTATTGCTTTCTAGATATCTATTTTTGAATTCCGAGGACGGAATTCTTTGTAAGGTGGATAGACTGTAATACCCCGGTTGATTATGGATTATTTGAGATTAATTATTTTGCATTATTGTTATTATTATTTATACTTAATGTCTAATTTCCTAATTGATTATTGGTGTTATTATTATTATTATTAGTATTATTATTATTATTATTATTATTACTATTATTATTATTGTTATGATTATTATTATTAGTGCTAAATGCCTAAATTAAATGTCTAAATGCATATTATTATTTTTTAATAAATGTTATTTGTGTATATTATATATGATTATTATATATTAATAATTATTGTGTATTATATATATATATATATAATCCGGTTTTATTTTAATTATCGTCAATCAAACCGAGACTCGAATATCGTAAATATGGAACGAGAAAGTCCGGTCGAAAACCATGAGCCCGCAGCCGAGCCGGTCATGATCCATAATCGACCTTTTAATTTTATGGCCATTTAAATTAGGAAATTAATCTCCTCATTATCATTTGTTAATTTTGGTCTTAATGCTAATAGATATTGAACCGTTAAAAAATCTCTCTCTCTCCTCATAAACCAATTCCTCTTATCCCTCACGCCCTTATCTATCTCTGCCGTATCCCTCTCGTGATTGATTAATCTCCATCTCTCCCTCTCTGAATCATCTTGCGCCACCATCATCACCACACATCTTTGATCATCACAATCTTCCGCCATCACTCCATCGCGCGAGAAGGAGATCGCTAGCCACCATTACAGCTTTTCTTCTCCGGTGATCCGCAGCATATCCGTGATCAGCTCTCTGGAGTGAATCACCAGCTCCGAAACCAAAAGTGATTAGCAGCGAGAAGAACCGAGGCCTTTAATCCGAATCCTTCTTCATCCGATCTTGTAGTTCCGAAGGAAGGTACTTTTCAATCAAAATCTAATTGTTACTCATTGTTTTGGATTTGATATTGTTCGATTATTTCATGTTTCGGTGTTTCGAGTGTCGTTGGTTGAAATCGATATTTGTTTATTCTCGGTTTGTTGTCGGTTCATTATTGGTCGTGTTGTTCATGAATTTCGGGAATAATCGGAACTCTCGTTTATTGTATAAATCGAGCTCTTTAATTTCTGTGACGATATCGTGTTATTTCAGAGTCTTTATCTGTGGTTTCGAGCCTGACCGTCATTGATATGTTCATTCGTTCGTTTTCGAAACCGTTTGATGTCGTTCCATTTTTTTTTGAATATATATAAAAACGATATTTATAAATATTTTGAACTCTGAAGTATGTATTCTTGATAATATCT